AACTCCTTCTTGGGATCCCGTTAACAACTTTAGTTGAAGCCGTCCCAAGCAGGATTGATATCCAAGGCAACCATTTTTGACCAAATCCTTTGCTCCTCAAAACCTCAAACAAAAATGGCCACGCAATCGAATCAAATGCCCTCGATATGTCCAGTTTCAAGAACACCCTAGCCTCCTTGCGAGCATGGATCTTCCTTGCCACTTGTCTAACCAGAAGAAAGTTGTCATGTAATTTCCTTCATTTTACGCCTAGCTCGATTGGCTAGCATCTTGGCGAACAACTTGGGGGTGCTGTGGGTAAGACTTATTGGTCGAAAATCTCCCACAACCTCAGCATCTGATTTCTTCGGGATGAGCACTATATGAGCTTTGTTTAGCTTCCCAAAACCCCGACCATCCTCCACATATAGATTCATCACCATCGCCATGACATCATTTTTGATGATGGGCCACGCCCTCTAGTAGAATGCGGCCACAAATCCATCCGGCCCCGGGGAACGGTCTGACGGCAAAACTCCTTAATTGTATTCCAAACTTCTTCCTCAGTGAAGATAATTTCCAGATCAGAAAGGTCATGGGCTCCATCCCCACAAAATTGAGATCTAGATCTGCCTCCCTAGCCGTGGCATGTCCCAGTAATTGTTCGTAGGCCTCCATAAAGATTTTCCCTTGTCTCTCTTGCTTCGTAATTAGCTCATCATTGTGCCTGATATGGGGGATGAAATTTTTTGATCGCCTTCCATTCGCCACAACTTGGAAAAGCTTTGTGTTTGCGTCACCTTCGTGGATCCATCGCAGCCGGGAACGCTTGCGCTCAATGGTACGCTGCAGAGAGGACAATCCCAACAGGGCATGTTTGATAGTTTTCCTTAACCATTGCTCCTCGGGAGTGAGAGCACGGGCCTCCATGGCACGATCGAACCTGAGGATGATGTAGTTCACTATGACAATCTGGCTCTTGATATTACCTGTCTTCCTCTGGCCCCAAGATTGCAATGCAACAGCCGTATTCCGAAGAAGAGCATCCATCCTTTTGAAAGGATCAAAAATATTTGCATCACAGACCCATGCATCCCGTACTGCTTGATCGAACCCATTTAGTCTAGTCCAGTACATCTCAAACCGAAATCTCCTCTTGGGGCAAAAAGGCGCAGAGGTAGTTAGGTGTAGCGGAGCATGGTCTGATATGTTGGTGGAGAGGGCTTGGGAAGAATGTCCGGATGATTGAGCTCCCAATCCATGGATACAAGCACATGGTCAATCTTTGTCATCACCGGCTGATCCCTTTCATTCGTCAATGTAAATCTCCTTCCATGCATGTAAATCTCCTTGAGCTTGCTGTTGTCTACAAACTCTTTGAATCTCCTCAAATGCGCCTATTGATATTATTATTGCTCTTCTTATCCGCTCTAAGTATCATGTTGAAATCACATAAGACCATCCACAGTCCCGGGCAATTTGCTCTCCTACCGTGAAGATCACTTAGGAACCGCGTTTTAGGTCCTTCTCCTTGCAGTCCGTAGACTACCGTCACCCACCATGACGATCCATCCTTGTTGTGTACTAGCCCGGTGATAGAGTTAGCGTCCCGTGAAATGTTATCAATGTCCAAACCTTCTATCCCAAGCCAAAAGAATGCCCCCACGAGTCTCCACCGCCAGCAAATAATCAAACCATCAAACGATGGTCCTATGCATTGCATAACTATGAATTGATCAACTACATCAAGCTTCGTCTCTTGCAGACACACTAGATTAACCTTGGCCGCCACTACAAACTCCCTAACGAAATGCTTCTTGGCAGGGTTGTTTAAACCCCTC